TTTCAAAGTTTGGCAACCAACTTTGGAAAATATTTTTTCAAAGTTTGGTAAATGTTTCTTTGAAAAATGTTTTTCAAAGTTTGGTAAAATTTTGGTAGATGTTTGTTGAAAATAGGAATGGGTAAATTCACTTTAGTCATTGCACTTTAGGGTATTTTCAAAGATTAGTCCCTAAGTTTCTACTATAAATACCCTTACCCATTTAGCTTCAAAATCATCCCAAAATATTTCTTTCTTCCTATACTAGAGAGCTTTCTTGTGAGTAGTGAGTGTTTTGTAAACACCTGTAAATTTTCTCTCTTAGTAAAAGATCTGCATCAGCCCGGAGACGTAAGCACAATTGACTGAACTCCGTTATCAATTTTCGGATATTATTTTTCCGCTTTTAATTCGCATTCTCACTAATCTGGTTATAGGGAAATTACTTGTACTCGGTTTATTTTCCTAACAGACACTGCGTGCTTTGGGTTTCTAATTATAGAAAGTTGGGATCTTTTCGGAAAGAACGAAGAGATGATCTGTGTGGGAGTGGTGGCGGTTGACGATGAAGATGGGAAAAAGGATGCCATGGCTATTGATATTGCCACTTTGGTGATGAACAGTGCTATTGCATGCCTTTTATTTATAAAGGATCAATCAACTTTTCAGTCCCTAATTAGTTTTATAACTTTTTTTTAATTTGGTCCTTAAATATTTTCATCCGTATTGATCTTTGAATTTGACATTTTTCTCAATTTATAGTATTATATCAGTGTCACGTCATAAAAAAACTAAAATTAGAAAGAAAAATATTAAGTTTATGGATTCAAAAATTAATTGGATGTCAGAATAGTCGTCTACCTAAAAATTTCATATTCTCATATACTTTAGTTCTTTTTTATATATTTTTTATTGATAATCTAATTTCACGTTCCTAAATTTATAATATAACTTCTTAATTAGAAAAACTTAGTTTCAAAAACTAAAAGGTATACTTTATCTTATTTTATAAACTAAAATTTGAGTTAAAATTTTCTATGAACAGAATTATAGAATATCACACACGCGAAAGTTCATAGTTGACAAATATGAGAAATGACAAATTACAATAGAAGTTACCAACTTGGTAACGATTACTGCTTTTATATTGTTGTATAAATTTCAACTTATCTTGTGCGGCTTCAAATTCCTTTATTTAGTTTATTGTATTAAATGAAAATTTAATATGGGATGATCGGTCGAGAACTCCACGACGTTAATGCCTTAAGAGGAAGAGTGAGGAGCGGATGACTATGGGAGGTTACAAGATATTGAGATTTAGGAATTTAATTTTTTTTAAAAATAAAATAATTTTTTTAGAATTTTTCAGATAAAAAATCAAATTAAATTAAAATTTAGATCTCATGTTAAATGATGATTAATTGATATAATCTTTTAATAGATATTAACGATTTAACTTTAAAATATAAAATTAAACATAAGACATCTAATTTAAAAAAAAAATTCTATACACCTAAAGAATAAAAAAAATACAATTTAAGCACTTATTTTTCATTTGAACTTAAATGTAAAATGCATATTATTATAATAATATTTTATATTTTCATTCTTTTAAATAATCTTTAAATAAATCACATAAAAAATCATTATTTAATAATATGAAAATATTACGTTTAAATTAAATTATTATTTTAATCAAGAGTGGATGTACGTTATAGGTGTGATGTCATTGATAGTTATAAAACCATTATAATTAGGTATTTGCCCCTTCTAAATTTATTTGATAAAATTACTCTTAGGATATTGTAACTTTTAAAATTAATGGAATTAAATCTTTAGCCCGAATTTATGCGATTTAATTATTTTTTAAGGCCTTTAAATTTTAGATTTAGTGAAACTAAACCCCTCACCTTTTAATTTTATGGTTTAATTATTTTCTAAGACCCTATTTATTTTAAAATCAAGCAATTTACCTACTCATAATACAATCTTAGTTCCATCCTTGATTTTAATTGAATATTGGAAAATAAGTTTGATAAGTTATTATGGTCAGTTTGGGAATGCTTATGGCAATAAAAAATGATTTTTCGCTCCATAAATAATTTTTTTTATTCAGCTAAGGTGATTAAAAGTAATATATATTCTAAATTTCATAAATAATGTTAAAAACTCAAAAATCGGTTTAAAATTATGGTTAGAAAATTGATTTTCAACCTAACCTCAAAAAGCTCAAAATTCTAGTTTTTGCCGTAGAAAATTAGTTTTTTAATGAAATTACATTTTTATCCTTAAAAAGTATATTTTAAATTTATAATATAATGTATAAAATCAACGTTTTGTCTTTTCAAAATTAACCTTTTAGTAGTAATTCTAAACAATTAAATTTTAGAATTTACTTTTTAAAAACACTTTTTAAAATATTTTTTTAAAAATCACCTCTCAAAGTAATATCAATCTCGTCCTAAATTTTAACAAAAAGTACAGTTGAAGTGTATAACATCTTCACCTATCTACCAATCAATATATATTATAATATCAAACTTGTTAGGTGATGTGAAGCAAAAATGAGCAAACGTGCGTATTCTATGTAGAACCGGTAGGTCCGGCCTATTTGAATAAATACTTCACAAATTCAAGTCATTTTCATTGTTGTTTGATAATATTTTTAAATATTATTTTATTATACAAAATGTTTTTAATTTATTTTTTATTTAAATAAAATTTCAAAATTACATTCAAATGCATGATTTTTATTGGTTTTCAACCTATTCATTAACTAATATAGACTAAGTATTGCAAATGCCAATTATGAATACGTCATGTATAATTTCATTTTACAATGTCCAAATTACACAAATCTTTTTCATTCATAAATTAAAGGGTTTTAATTGAAATGCAACTGCAATTGCATGTTTCCAATCCTTCTAATATATTAAACTGAACGTATTTCACTGCAAATGTATTCTTCGGCTGAGAAATTCAATGGCATATATCTTACATGTGATGTGAGAAAAACAAATCCATATTTCACTGTACAAATTTGAAACTGAGTTCAGATAGTATATTCAAATCTTGAATAATAGATATTCGAGTTTGTTCATGCTTATTCCAATCTAAATATTATCGGACTTTACTATATCCGGAAAAAAATGTTGACGGACGTCAAACAAATATCAATACTCATGCCATCGCCATCCCTAATGGTTCTTGAGCAAAGTTATAATCGTTGGCAGCAGTGGCAAAAGGATAACGATTATCAAAATTATGGCAGCAATGATCGCTATACACATCCATTTCCTGGAGCTCTTTTGCTGTTCCCTCGCTTCTTGAAGCTGCTCCGTCCCTCGTCTCACGAAGGAGCTGGCATGTGCGACGTTGCTTTCGATGTCGTTCAGCTGATGACCCTGAGCTTCGACGAGTGCCGCCATGTCGAGAAATATCTGATGAAGCTCGAGCAAATTCTTTTCGATCTCTTTAACGGCGTCGTGTCGCTCTTGAATCTCGGAGATGGTGTCCAAGATTTGACCTCTCCCTTGTTCTTGGATCGCCCTTTGGAGGAAGCTCTCGCTTTCGCCGCTCGATATCAAATTCTCGATCGTGTCTTCGTCGGGTTTTTGTCCGGTGATGGTGAAATAGCGTCGTTCCACGGTTTCTTTGTACTCCGCTTGCATCCTAGCTCTAAAGCCTTGGAACTCATCCATCATCGTCTTCAGTTTCTTACCCAACCCGCTAACGACCGAGGTCCGGGTCCTGTCAGAGGACGATCCGGGTCCGCAACCCGGAACAGTACGGGCGGCGACGTTGGATTTCTCAAGAGCTTCGAGCTTTCCTTTAATGGCTTTCACTCTCTTGAGAACCTGTTCGACGTCGGAGTCCATTCGGGCACGTAGCTGCTTCATGGTTTTGGCATTGTGCGTCGTCTTGCATTCCTCGTTGGCTTGCTGTAATGCTTTATAAAGCCCCTCGACGACTTTCATGTCTTCTTTAACATTCTCGACATCCTCGAAGAATTTGTCGAGGTTAACGGTTTCGGTGCCGGCTTCCACATCGTCCATGTACGCCTGTTGTTTCAGGTCCGTGTATTTCCTGAACGAACTCGAGATTAAATCGTTCATCTTGACTCAAATTCTCAATATAATTACTCTTTGCGAAAAGGGTTGATGTTGGCGTGTGATTGACTAATCTAAATATTTTATTTGTAATGACTTTTTACTGGTTGGGTTTAAGGCTATCTTCCCCTTCATTGACTGCTAACTGGTGGGTGATTAGCAATCTAGGAGGAAGACAAGAGGAAAACAAAACTGTCGGAAATCAAAGGGAAGCAAGACAAGAGGAGTTTCCCTAGTTTTTTTGTAAGGAAAAAGATGTGAGAAATAGTTAATCCAAAAATGGACTTCCTTTTGTTGTTCGCCATTGGTGGTTGACCTGGTCATCCCTGTTTCTATCCACCAATCAGCCATGGCTAAAATAGATATGCTGCAATTCACGCATATCTTACGGGAGGCTAATATGACGACAGACAAGAAGACATGAAATATCAGTTCATGAAGTTGCACCAACTGAACTACTGCCAACCAGTGTTGGGTTAGTGGATAACTAAGTTTTGATTTTTTGTGTGGTTAAAATCTTGTTTAGAACCTCCGAAGAATGCTCATTGTTCAGTTAGGTCCCCAGCAACTCAAGTACATTACAGGCGGCCCTAGGAGCTAGGAGGCTCTTCTGCGTGCTTCGGCTTCTCGTTCTTTGCAGTCTCTGAAACCCCACTTTTTATCATGTTGCAGAACCCACTTGTTCGATTCTACGACTATGACGAAGAAGAACAGCAGGAGCCATTGAAAAGCCTCCGAAGAATACTAGACTCTTGCAACAAATATTGTCTTCTCAATTACAAATCAAAGCATAAGAAAACTTGAGTTTCTTGATCACTTCTGTTATGTACAAAACTGTGTGAAAAACTAATTAAATTGTCACAAAGGTCCTTTAGAAGGCATAAAGATTGGATTAATTCCCACAAAGGTCCTTTAGAAGGCATTCTTTGTACCAATTAGCCATAGCCAGTCCAAAGCAACCCCAGCAAATATGCCACCCAGTAAGCATAGTACTAATAAATTGCCCAAGGCATTTTGCTCAGGTCCCTGCAAAAAAGTTCAAATGAAGCCCTTAATTTCTCATAAATTACTACAGACTTGTAGTAAACTTCAATGAAAATCGAAGAATCGAGTACAGACCTTGTAACCTTTAGGAGCTTCTGTAAGAACGCATACGGTAAGGTGGCCGTTTGTTAATCCGAGGAGGGAGACAAGCATTATCATCCATCCTTGGTCACCATACTTGGCAGTGAAGTAAAAGGAGGGGATAAGTAAGAAACGAGAAAGTATCGCGATCATAAGACCTTTCCGGGATTCAATCTTGAGGAATTTCAAGAGGGGAAGATATCTTGATACCAGATCCCACAAATTGTATGCTGCTATAAGTACAAGTGGATACCTAAAGAAAATACCAATCATAATGTTTAACATTCAATTACTTGGACAACAAGTAATGCTTATTTCATTCAATGAATGAACGCTTACCATGGACCCAACTTATGTTTGCCGGTGTTTTCGAACAAGAATCCTGGGAAAATCGACAGTGACAAGACGTATATCAGAAAAAGGCCGAGCGCGTAATCAATATTCTGGAAGAACAGCTGTTTGTTGCTCAGCCTGTTACTCCGTTCAGCATTGTCTTCATGCTGTGGAAATGCCAAAACCTACGAGTTTTTATGGAATTCCTAAAAGCAAAGTTTGATAAATCATAAATATTATCCTAGAACAAAGTTGCAGTACTCTTTGGTCTTCTTTTGTTTGAATTCCAGCTGCAGCAAGATCGGCTTGAACCGTTTTCGCTCCTTCGGAAGCTGCCTTCGAGCGAAAGTACTTAACTATGGGCAATTTGGGGAAGATAAATGCATACAACAGGACGCAAAGGAACTCGATGAATGTAGAAATGGCTAGGAACAACACTGCAAAACGAAAACAAAACTCGATCAAAACCGAATAAATCATTTGTTCTGATTACAGATAAGCATCAAAAGACAGAAATTCTAAGATGTTTTTGTAAAGAGAAATCACTTACTTGTCCCCTTGCGAAGACCATTATTGGAATTTTCGAATGCTGCTTCAGTGACAAGCCTCAAACCAGAGGTTAGTGCACCAGATGCAGCCAAACCAGCAAGGAAAGACTGAAACACGAGATTAAAGATTCAGTTGACTGCTGAAAAACATTAAGACAAATCAACAACTTTGCAAGAAAACATCAAAGAACTCGAAGATAAACCAACCTGGATAAATTCGGGTAGCATGAAAGATATTTCACCAACAACTCCACCTTGAACGAGCGCATCCGCAACTCCGAAACAACCAACAATTGCACATAAACCGATAAAAGATCCGACTCCTCCTTTCCCTGATGTAGCTAAATCCAACTGTCGACAAAATCGAAACCGGCAATGAGAGAATCGAATGAATGGGGTGAGTTCTGCCACATGGGATATTAATGCAAAACTTACCACTATGAGCATGAAAGAACTTGCAGTGAAAAGCAGGTATCCGACTATGTTCCGCAGTCTGGTATTGATCTTCGATTCATTGTATGCGAGGATCGCCATTGTTCCAATGGCGAATGGTTGGTAAACAAGGGTAAGCACCCTTGAAGGATGATATTTCTTCAAAAAAAAAACATCATCATCATCATGGAGAAAAACTATGTTTATCGTAAAAGCAAGGTAATTAACGTAGTAATGTGTCTGAAAAGAAAGTAAGATTATGTTACGTACTGGGAACAAATTGTAATAATAATCACCAATCGTGAGCATGCTATTCCAAGCGACAAGAGATCCAAGTCCAAGAACCCAACAAAACACCATGGCACTGAGCTGTCCCTGATTAATTTTCAAAGAAAACTGAGTGAATCTTTACATATTAAGAAACAGAAGAGAAGGAAACGCGAAGCACCAACCTCAAGCCTTGTAGGCAACTCTCCTCCGTCAGAAATAGTCATGGGGATACTGAAGTTTAAAACTCTGGGAATTTTAATATGAGAAAGAAAGAAAGGAAGGAAGAAAGAACTGTTGATGGAGAAGAAAGAGAAGTTATATCTGCTTAAAACACTTAGTAGGTATCGTTTTAACAAAGGATTCATTTAATATATATATTATACCGTTTTGGAGTAGAAGGATTTTCTTAAAAACGAACACCTTTGTGTTTAGATTATCCTACGGTTGTCTTAGCAATAAGTGTTGGACCAAAAGCCCTAGGATCTAGCGTGGGGAACGAATGGGCTCAAGCAATCAACATGCCCAAATTCAAGCATCTTGATCGAAGCCCATTTCTCAAAGTTTTAAGGGTCTAAACTAGTGATGGAAACAAGATGTGACCGGTCGATTTTTTCCATCCCGATTCTGATTCAAAAATTGAAAGTTTTCATTCGATTTCAATTTATTTCAGCATTTGATTGTTTTCAATCCGCTCGAAATTCAAAAAAACGATTGTCCTCACCTGCCTCCTTTCGATCCATCCCAGCCAATAGCTCGTCTTTTGTAGATCTCCAACCACACGCTGTATGGTAAGCATCCTTAAAGCATTAAGAAAGTGATTTATTATATATAAACTAGTGTATTTACATACAAGGTTAAACTAATTCGTATGTTATTAAATTTAGGGTTTGAATCTATTTCATCACCGAACTTTAAATTTTTTTAATTTTAATACAAGTTTCGGTGTAAACATTGAACCATTAAATTGTTAACGATGTAATGATCGGATTGTTTTCTTTCCTATTACTTTTAGTTTGTGTATATATTTTGTCACAAAACAATAAAATATTTCAGTTTAAACATTGAACTTTAGCTTGTATATCATTTTAGTCTCTACAGTTATGGTCGAATCCTCCAATCATCATTGTCGGTCAATCTTTCTCATCATCAATCGTCACCCACGATAAGATCGATATAAAAATATTTGTATTTCACTCATCTTTATTTTTCTTAAATTGGTTTTCCACAAAACCCAACCAAATCGATGAAAAACTACATAAATAATCAATATTTTATTACTTCGATCTCCTCTAGTGATCGTTCGATAAGGTTAGTTTAGACAACTATCCATCAAACCCTTCATAATCTACTCCCACGATCTCACCATTTCCGAGAGGGAGAACATCTTGATTATGGTTTTTTAAGGTAAAGGGAAACAAATTTAAAGAAGGGAACAATTGGTGGGAAGCTACACCGAATCGATGGTGTAAGCTGAATTTCGATGGAACTTGTAAACTGGACACAGATATAACGGCATGTGGCGGAGTGCTGCGAAATAATAAGGGCAACGGAACACGAGTTTTACCAAAGCTCTAGGACGATGTTCGACCTTCGATGCTGAACTCTAGGGGTAGTCGTCGGGCTTGAAATTGCTTGGAATATTGGCATAAGAAACATTATAGCGGAGACGGATAGTAGAGAGACGTTTAAACTCCTTTCACAAGGCATGCCAATGGATAGACTATCACTGATAGTGTCGCATATTGTACGTTTAATTCAGCTAGAGAGAGGTTTAAACTCCTTTCACAAGGTATGCCAATGGATAGATGCTTTTATTTTTTATCTTAAAATGGTTGATGTCGATTTTATTTTAATAAAATATATACATCTTTTAAATAAAAATATTTTTAAATCTGACAATAATTTTAATAAAATCAGTTTAAAATTCAGTGATGACATTAATACAAACCCAAGACTTAGTGCATTTGAGATAGTTCAAATTATGAGGTCAATATGCATTGAAGACAAAGGTCATTATGTTGGGAAGAAAAATAAAGAATTTCAGCCACCGGCCAAGCTACCTATAAAATATCGACAAGTCCTCTCCACCGTCCACTCTACCGTCCACTTCTACTTGCCTAATAACAAAATAATACAATGTCATGCTTATGCTATTATTTGTTCTAGGGCCGGATGTATTAAATTCTTTATCTATTATTTAAAAAATAATTAAATTTAGTTTGATGTGTTAAAGAAAAAATAAAAAAAATTTATATACTCATTATTTTTGGAAAATACTATTTAAATTTTAGACTCTCTAAATTTTTAGATCTGTTACTAATTTATTTAAAATTATATAATTAGTTTAGCTAATAATCTAATATACTTTGTGGTCCATTAATTCAATAATTTCAACTTGCTATTAAGATGTATTATTTAGTGCCATTTCAAGTCTTAAAAAATACATCAATTTCTCGTAATTATCTGATTTATATATTGAATTGAGTTAAAATATCATTAGGATGAAAAATATATAATGGCATAATATTTTCTTTCTTTTTCTAAGATAATTGCAATGTAATATTTGTATGGATGACAGTTTAACCTGAAATCAACGATTCCGACCTGATTCAATTAGATAGTTTCATTCTTTAAAAAAAATGAGTTCTGGTCGACCCGGGGTCAGGGTCGGGTGGAGGGTGAAAATTCCCTGACCCGACCCAACCCCAAAGTAATAGTGTAATTTTTCATATAAATTTATGGATAATTGCTATAATACCCTCTATATAGTTTTTTTAATTAGGTTCTTATTTTACATCGGGTTCAATCGAGTCGGGTCGGATTTATACTCTAAAAACTCTTGTCGATTTGATAAAAAATTGACCCAACTCAACCCATTGTCATCCCTAAATATATATTTTTAAGATTCTCAACCATTTTAAAAAAATTAAATATCCTTACAGTTTTTGATACTGAACTTAGAACCTTTAGGAATAATAACAATCCTTTAATACGATTTGTGCAATGGTATAACAATTTCAAGAATGCATCATGCAAATAAGAATAATGCATGCTTATAATAATTAAAGGTACACTACTTATATTACAGACGGTAATGATAATATATATATATATATATATAATGAAAATTATGAAAGAAAAAAGTTACAAGAAGAAAAAAAAATTAAAGATGATTTATGGTTATAAGGTTTCATATAGAGCCACCTATTATCTATATACAAGGTTAATTATTTAATGAAAAATTAGTATTACTATGAATTTTTTTAATATGGATTTCTATTTAAATGAAAAGTATATTTGTATATGATTGGATATACGGATATCATCACATCCATCATATATATATATATATATATATATATATATATATATATATATATATATCTTTCAATTTATTTGTTCTATTAAACGAGTCGTATCATGAATTTTTTAAATCGAATTAAATTAAAATTTAATTATAAAACACTAATAGTTACAATTATAATATAAATCAATCTAGTTTAATCAAAATTCAAACTCAAGTTTGAATTTATATTTGATTTTAATTTTATTTTTAACTTGAAGTATATTTAAAGTGAAGTGGGATCGTAATTCAAAATAAATGATAGATTTTTATTATTTTTTGATCCGTGAGATTTTAACCCTGTTTGGTAACATAGGACAGGCAGAAGCCGATGGGTACTGAGAAATGTTTTGTTTTGTATTGTCTAATTCTGAAGAATCATTTCGTCATCAACGTTTGGTTTACAAAAGCAATAAGTTACGTGGAATGATTTGGTTCCACGGCGGCACGGCCTACCACCGCCGACTAAACCATCTGTTTTTGTTGCATTGCATGCTTTTGTCTTACTCCCGCAATCACTCTCACCATTACATCCCTTCATCCACATCATCTGGGACAATCCCCATACCTAAAGTAGATTAAGGGTCCAGATTCGACTGTCGTATCTGATTTCTCACAGCCACGTCTTATTTATTCAGTATTCCACTCGCACACATTAACTATCAGCTCAACAAACATGTCATCGCACCACCTCTATGAGCTCGACTCCACCACCGATTCCGTTGCTTCCTCGCCAAGATCCGAACACCATGCTCCTCACGATGCACTTGCTTGTGTACGGTTCGTGTGCAGTTTCGGCGGCAAGATCCTTCCTCGGCCTCACGATAATCAGCTGCGGTACGTCGGAGGCGATACTCGCATCGTCGCCTTCCATCGCTTCACCCCCTTCTTATCGTTCCTAACCAAGCTCTCCAAACTCTCAGGCAATCCGCTAAACCTTAGTTTTCTTTTAATAATTTCTGAATTCATATTTACTTTTTGATTTATTTGGTTCTTTGATTAGGAATTGGCAACGTGAGTGTGAAGTATCAATTTCCGAACGAGGATCTTGACGCTTTGATTTCAGTGACGACCGATGAAGATCTGGAGAACATGATGGAGGAATATGATCGGCTAGCGCAGAATCAAAACCCTCGGCTGGCTCGGCTTCGGCTTTTTCTTTTCTCCAAAGGCGATGACGATTCACGAGCCAGCAGTATCAGTTCACTTCTCAACGGCTCCGTTAATAGTGAAAACTGGTTCTTCGACGCGCTTAACGGAGGCGCCGGTGCTTCAAGGCTCGAACGCGGTCGTTCCGAGGCTTCCTCGATAGTATCCGAAGTGCCTGACTATTTATTCGGATTGGATAACTCCGATGAGACCCAACCTCCTGATCCGAAATTAAGGACACGTCAGCTTATGTACGAGAATAACTCGGTTTCGGACCCCGGTTCTCCTGCCCCCGTTTTTTCTTCTTCTTCTTTCTGTTCCACGTCATCAGTTCCTATCGTACCTTCCGTGAGTAAATCGGATAACCCCAAACCGGTTTTGAAGTCAAAGCAAAATCAAACCGACAGTTTCGTGGAGCAACCCGTTTCGCAGCCAACGACATATTCTGGTAATGCTCCTACGTGGCATTATGTTCACGATTCTCATTATTCTGTTCCTGCTGTACAACCAATACCCGTTTATTATATACCGGGTCATGCACAACCCGGAAATCCTCATGCTCAAGTTCAACAACAACCCGTTCAAATCCGTGCACAGTATGTCCAACAGTATCCGAGTTCATCGGGTCAAACATCCGTCGGGTATCATCAGCAAGTTCCTGGTGTGGGTCAAGCATACGGGGCGGCATCGCCCGTGGATCCTTATGATCCGACGTGGAGAGTGGGTCCTGAT